GAAACATAAATAGTACTTGGCAAGTACTTTAGTTTTTTAAAGTCTTCAAAAACCCTAAATATTGCTATATGTGATCTTCTTAACTATGTTTGACTGGTATTTGGTATAGAATTTAGCAGGCACAGGGATGAAAACCCACCTTTTTGACAATCTAGAAATGGGAATTCCACTAAAGTATGGTCAAACCTTGATAATCTATAACCCTAAGAATCTGGCAATTATGCTTATAGAAAGTTTGCAGTTAAATTTATTTGAAGATTGAAAGATGATTGATTGGGGATATGAGTTCTGTTCTCTTCTTCTTTGCTTTGCTTCTTACATACATGCCTGTTTACAAATACATTTACACACGTGCCTCTTCTAAACCATAAAATGCTGTTATGGTTTTCAGTTATCTCTAAAGGGTCTTTCTGGCACTTTCTTGTCGTCACAATATATTACTATTAATTTGTAATACATTCCAAATGCAGGTGCTTATTAACCAACTAGAAGAAGTTGCTCCATCAATCCAGAAGTCAATATCAGAGTGCACGGAGAAAGTAAATAGCATTTCCTCCAACTTACCTGCAATGACCAAACATCGTGGTCAAACCACCTCACCTATTCAAGCTCAGAGCAGTAGAAGGACCTTGGTAAATGTTCAGTCCTTATTCATGTAATGCAAATATTGATAATATTTCGAAACTTCTGAATATTTGTGTAATGTAGAACATATGACTCGTTTTTAAAATATTTTCTGGATCATTCAGGAAAGTAGTTCTGATGACGTTGATGACATTACTTAAAAAATGTCTGCCGTTCAGCTTGAGAAGAATTCAGCCAGCCCTCCTGCTTTAAAGCTCCCCCAGTTATTTAGTTTAACTCCAAATCCATCTAGAAAGGGTGGAAGTATTCAAAAGCAACACACCTTAGTTCCTCAGACCAACCAAATTGACACTTTACCCGAAAAGAATTCTATGGAACAGCCTCTAGCAAACAATCGCTTGGGTAACTCACTTCAAGGTTTGTTGCTTTTCATTGTCCATTTGTCTCCCTACGTGTTATTGGTTTAATGCCTTCTATCAGTTGAAAGAAGGTAATTTAGCCCCTTTGGCTGAAGAATTTGATTCTTGATTTCTTGTTGCAGATAGTGATATTTCTTATGTTGAAAACCTAAAAAGATCTGTTAGGCAAGCTGCACTGTCAGTGGCATCTTGCAATTCAGAGTCATTTCGTGACAGGAAATCTGATGAAAGTTCTGAGCATTTCATTGTACCTGTTTCATCAACTAATCATTCTCACTTGGGACCAGAAACTAAATTGAGCTCGTTAAGGACTAAGAGATTATATTCAACTCAAACAGAAAATTCCTTGCTCGACAGCCATGCCGGTGATGGTCATATTGGGAATAACTATGACAACTTAACACACGTGTTGAACAATCTGGATTCTCCTAATAATTATGATCAAGTAAATGGATTTCACTCAGCCACTGCTTCTAGATGTGCGGATGCTGATCTGCAAAGGTCACTTTTTAATTTGGAAGAAGTGCGGGATCAGGTCTTCTCTCCTTTTCTGATGGACACATCCCTGTTAGACGATTCTTATGAGGATTTACTTGGTATGTTGGTTTGCTTACAAACTATTTCTGTTAAAAGGCATCCATGTAGGGGCTGTAGTAATAAGACTCTTTATATTAATGTTTTAATTTGTTTATCCATTAATTATCACATTTTACCATGGGTTTTGGCTTATGAGCAGAGTTCTATTTATTATCGTTTTCTACCCTGCGGTATTGTTTTTGATTTGGAGGTTGTTTGTGCAGCTCCACTTTCAGAAACAGAAACAGCCTTGATGGAACATTGAGATGGAGTTTAGATGATTCTGTTCGGATGGTTTTGCTTTTGGTCCTTGGTTGGGATGTGCAGCACTCTCATTGATTTGTTGCATGACACGATACTTGTATGTACTTAAACTACAGATATACAATGAGAGCAGCTCCCCCCACTGAAATCTGGAAGACTGCATGGTATTATTTTGTAAGGTAACACAAGCTCTCCTAAAAAGTTTATGTTTTGCCTAGAGTGAATTCATTATGTTAATATCTTCTTTAAATTGATTATTATTATTAATATTGCTACTCATACTGTGTGTATTGAATGTTAGAGACTTAAATGTGTTCTTCGGTACCGACGAGTACTGTGGTAAGATCCCCCTTTGAAGTTTCTTGATTATTATTATTATGATAGATTACGACGATAAATCGAGACATAATCTAAACTTTCTTCAACCTCTTAGTGCTTTTAATGCGCAGTATTTTCCTCCGAATAGCTTGATATATGATGTAGGTAATAGAGGTGACGTGCATTGCTTATGAAGGAGGGTTTTGAGAATGTGTTGTACAGTCTTTTAGCTTAGCTTAGAATTGATCTCTTTGGGGTGGTTGATATGATATATTTTGACCTTTTATTTTTCGCATCTTTATTTATGTTCATTTATTGGGTGCTGGAAGATGAGTGTTGTAGATTGTGATTCTTTACCAATCTCATTACTGCCTTTTTATTTTGTTGTTTTTATTGGGGATTTTACTTTTTCTTGTTGTTTAAGGAGTCTCTACCACTTTGATTTATGTTTGACTTCAGCGTTTTAATTTTTATTAATAGAGTTTCAAAGTTCTTGAATTCGGAGTTTAATACAGTTTTTTTTTGTTATAATTTGGAAGTCTATGAGTTGGGGGTTGGTTTGAGTTAGTAACTTTTCTTAAATTTCTTTTTTCAATTCCAAAACAATAAAGAAAATATTAGTTTAAGGTTACATGAAGCTCTTAATTTTTTTTTACTCAATTGAATTCTAAAATTAAAAAAAAATTAAATCACTAACAATCAATTTGTCTGATAGGATGTACTATATTTCTTAAGTAATATTAGGAGTATGAATTTTAATATTATGAATGGATTAAATTGAATTCGAAGAGTCGTGATTATATCAAACGAAAATTAATTAATTATTTTTTATGAAAATAAAGTAAATGGGTTTAATTGGGTAGAAAAGAATACATAAATTTAATTGACTTTTAAAAAAATAAATTAGAGGGTTTTAATATTTTAAATATTAAAATAAATTTTAGTTTTTATTAATTAATAATTTCAGTTCCATAATTCAGATTGAGTGGTGATCTGAAAGATAGTATGTTCCATACCTGATCCCGTAAGAGTTGAGTTTCTTTCTCAAGTAATGTGTGTAGGGTAGGTCGTCTAAATTCCAAATCTTTTCTTTTACAACTTCGCAAAAATAAAATAAAATAAAGAATCTTATACTTGATGTCCATTTTTTATCTGTAAGTTGCATGGTTAAATTCACTGTCACAGTGTCACGTCACCTAAAATATCTTTAGTTATCGGCATCATTTGGCGATGGAAATTATTACTTCACTAGCTTTTATAATAATAAATTATCTATTGGAAGTAGACTTTTGAAAGTATATTTAGTACTTTTAAATTCAAGTTCTGTTTAATATTTGGTAGAGTTTATATAAAAATGGCAGGTTTAAGAAATATGGTTTAACATATTTAGAATATAGATGGTCCTCAAGCTTTAAGATTTGAGATTCGATTTAATATATTAAGTTCTTCATGTTTAGAAGAGTAGAAAATAAATTTAATAAAAAATTAATTAATAATTAATTATTAAATTGAAGATGACATAATGTTTGAACTTTGAAGTAATTTTAAAGTTGTTTTTAAACCAATTTTTTTTATAATCTAGGATATTATAAAATAGTCTTTATTCAGAATTGTTTTTTTGTCTGCGACAATGTATACATTTAGTAGATATAATTTTTTTGAATCAAGATCTTTTAAAAAGATTAACATTCTCTTTATCATTAAAGACACTCAATAAACTCTTAAGTCAAATTAAAGTTTAATAAATATAAATCTTTTTAATAACATGTATAAACTTAACTTAAATCCAACCTACAAACAATTCTAACTAGAAAAATATCAAAATTCCAGTTTATTTCAAATCCAAACATATAATTGTAAAATACAGTTAAAATTTAAAGGTTTTTTATTTATTTTGAGATTGGATTACACAACAAAGAATTTGGTTTTTTTACTCAAGAAAAATATTTTATCAAATGAAGAATTTAGAGAGGTAATAATTTTATAATTTAATTTATCTAATAAAAATTATTTTTTCAAATGTCTTAATTTTATAATGTAATTTTGAAATAGTACAAATATCTTCAACCTTTAAATAACTATTTATTTTCAGGCGATAGATATAATTTTATGACACGCGCCGAGAAACACGCACGTAGGGTGGCTTGCCTGACTACAACGGAAAACTGTGCTAAAACGAAGATGTTGATATCAATGATATGGTAATGTATGAAGCTCGGAGAGATGAGATGACAAGGCAATAATAGGCTGTGAAAATGGATCTGTCCCAAGTCTTCAAAAACACCAGTTGCACTTAATCGGTGCGTGTAAACCACTAACTCACTAAAACTCTTTGCATTTCTCATTCTTAGCCTTCATCTCATCCCCTCCCAAAGCAAATAAAAGGCGGGTTTTCTCCAAAAGCTCGAAGGGTGATTTAGTAATTTATATTCCACTTCATCTGGAGTAAATCAAAAAGCGAAAATTGCAGAGGATGCTTAGAAAAAAATAATGGAAATGGAATTATTTAGAACATTTAGGAAAACAAAATATCAAACGCTAACTACATCCAAAGGTTGATCAATGGTGTTTCTTTCTAAATCCGTTACTTTTATTCTTTAGATTCTAAGAAGAAAAGAGCGTTTGTAAGTATAAGATTGATACCTTCATTTTGGACTAAAGCTGTCTTTTTTCTTATGTTGTTTTTGATGATTTTGTAGGTTCCTTCTGGTGGGAAATGCTGATTGGGGTTTTAAGATCAAACTCAGATCTTTAAGTTTTGATCTAGCTCAATGCTTTTCTTATTCTTTTCATTTTGTTTATGCTAATTGGGGCCTTTTGTCATATAGTTGATTGATATACTTGAGCTTGGACTTGTTGTGTTTTAGATGTTTTTTCTTCCAACAATCGAATTGGGTTTATGTTGCTGTTCGTAGAAACAAGGAATTCCTCTGTTGCCATTGAATAAATAATTCATCTTAGTGAGGACGGAGTTGCACATTTATCGGTGAATTGACTCATTGATGGAATCTATGCTTTGGTTTCTGGTATTTGATGGTGCATTTGATTTAAAGGGGTTTCTTTTATTATCCCATTGATAAGTTTGTGAGAAGAGATTCTTGTTCAGAGTAAGGATGATCAAACAAATACTTAATAGGCTCCCTCGTAAACCATCTAAGTCGAGTGACAATCGTGAGGGGGGAACATTTACTTCCTCATCGAATGCTTCTACCAGTTCGAGGAACAGCAATTTGGCAAGTAATCGATATGAAAACTCGAGTGGTGCATCGTTTTCTGGTTTTAATTCTACTCCAAGTTCAGGGCTGAATCAAGGGAATAAGATTTCTCAAGTGGTGAATGCCAAGTTGAATTGGAATACTTTCGCTGCTTCCTTTGAGGCATTGCCTAGTTTTAGAGATGTTCCAAATTCCGAGAAGCAGAACTTGTTTATCAGAAAACTCAACATGTGTTGCATCATGTTTGATTTCACTGATCCAATGAAAAACATCAAAGAGAAGGATGTCAAGCGGCAAACTTTGCTAGAGCTTGTGGATTATGTTTCATCTGCTAATGGGAAATTTTCGGAGATTGTTATGCTAGAAATTGTTAAGATGGTGTCTGTAAATTTGTTTAGAACGCTTACTTCTCCACCACGTGAGAACAAGGTTTTAGAAGCCTTTGATTTGGAAGAGGAGGAGCCTTCAATGGATTCCGCATGGCCTCATTTGCAAGTTGTTTATGAGTTTCTTTTGAGGTTTGTGGCATCACCCGAGACTGATGCAAAACTGGCAAAGCGATATATCGATCACTCTTTTATTCTAAGGTTGTTAGACCTTTTTGATTCGGAGGACCCCAGAGAAAGGGAATACCTGAAAACTGTGTTGCATCGCATCTATGGGAAATTTATGGTCCATCGTCCATTCATCAGAAAAGCAATCAACAACATCTTTTTCCGATTTATCTTTGAAACCGAAAAACACAATGGAATTGCGGAGCTATTAGAAATACTTGGTAGTATAATTAATGGGTTTGCTTTGCCACTGAAAGAAGAACATAAGCTCTTTCTTGTCCGTGCATTAATACCACTTCACAAACCAAAGTGCATACCCATTTACCATCAGCAATTGTCTTATTGCATTACTCAATTTGTGGAGAAAGACTGCAAGCTTGCTGATACTGTTATTCGGGGCTTGCTAAAGTATTGGCCAATTACAAATAGCTCGAAAGAAGTCATGTTCTTGGGTGAACTGGAGGAAGTTTTAGAAGCCACACAACTTGCTGAGTTTCAACGCTGCATGGTTCCCTTATTCCGCCAGATAGGCCGTTGCTTGAGTAGCTCGCATTTTCAGGTAGGGATTTCATCGGTCCATTACTTGCAACTTTCCTCTCTTTACAAAACCCCCTTGACAAAGCATAATTAGTTAAAAGTTGGAGAAAAAAATGAACTAACGGTTTAATGGTTTAGATCAAAATAAACTGTGCCTTTTGCCACTTTATTTGTTTGTCTAAATGGACCATTTCGTGCCATTGTGCTCTATTTAGGACTTCATTTTGAGTGAGATCTTTAAAGGTTACGACACTGAAATGATCATGAATAACTGAAAATCCAAGTGTCCTCGTTGATATAACGGTCTGTGATTTTTAGTAATTGAATCTATTATCAAATTTATCTAGTTGTAGTTGCTAAAACAATGTTGCATGGTCTGTGATAAAAATGTGTGTTCACTATTTGAATAGCTCTAATATTTTTGGCTGATGTCCCCTTTAATTTAGATGGTTTTCAATTCGGCGACAAGAGGAAGGTTTTGAACTTCAGTTTTTCTATATGAATGAAAGCTATAATGTCTGAAGATGTCAAGATATACTTATAGTTATTTCAATCTTAGTTGTCTATGTTACTTGGATCCGGCTGTAACCTTCTAAAACGGGTATGTGTCCGGAATAGTTATGTTTATTTTTTTAAAAAGATTTCTATGTATTTGGAGGGTCATTAGTGGATCATTTCCCACATGCCTACTTCTGAGTATATGTCGAACATTGATGCCGGACATGGGAACTTGAAGAAAAATGAAGAGTCGGAGTAATATATCGTGTGAAACTGCACTCAGTCGGTTTTGCTACTAGTGAATACACACTTAAATTATGTGCAGAACTAGCATTTTGAGAGTTTGAAGATGAGGGCTTTATTCTTTCTAAAACTCGAACATTGTTTGCAGGTGGCTGAGAGGTCTTTATTCTTATGGAACAAAGATCATATCGAAAATCTAATAAAACAGAACCGGAACGTTATACTTCGCATTATCTTCCCCTCCTTGGAAAAGAATGCTAGAAACCACTGGAATCAAGCAGTGCAGAGCTTGACGCTAAACGTCCGCAAGATTTTCTCCGACACCGACCCTGATCACTTTGAGGAATGCTTGCATAAGTTTGAAGAAGACAAAGCACGGGAAAGCGAGGTTAAATCAAAACGTGAAGCCACATGGAAACGATTAGAAGAGATTGCTGCGATGAAAGCTGCAAGTAATGAACCCGTGCTTGTCCCCCCTAAAGCAACTGCTCTCAAGCCATCTTGCTAGGACAAAAAGAATCTCCATTTCAGCCCTCGATGTTTCGTGTTGAGATCTGTATGCAAACCGTGGGTCGGTGGATTGGGGACAATGAAGCTGATTTTTCTTTCATATAAAGTGTTCCACCTGAAAATTTTGGTTTGCTTGGATTCATCAAGATTGATGCTTTTTATGTGGGGTAAATCTAAAGCCCCTTTTGCTCATATATGCATATATTTTGTATATATAATGGATTTGGGGACAATGAAAACAAATGAGTTTGGTTTGTAAACCATTCATAATCTTTAAAGGTGGATTCCACTTATTTGGATCAATTTGCTCTGTTATTGAATATACTAATCGGTTGATTTAGATTCATTGACCGGTTAATTTAGATTGAGTACTTTTAACGACTGTGTATGCAATATATTTTGGAGTAAACATTGCGGATTATGAGGCAACCTTGCATCATTCTCTTTTTCGACCGAAAACGATTCTCGTGCATAGTTTTATTCAATGGACAGCCTTATTATCAATTTGGGGTGAGTGTCGGGACAAAAGTATTTCAAGAAAAATGAAGAGTTCGGGATTCGGGTAACTCTTCCCCTTCTCTTTGTTTTCAAAGTTATGTTGTCTACCTAATGGATGATTCTTTAAGAAACTTCGTGCCTTTACCAATGCTTAGTTGTTTTTTGTTTTGCCCAATGTCTTTTCCATTGTTGACAAGATAATAATCTATTTCAATTGCCTTGTTGGTTTTCCGCAGGATAAAAGATTCGAGGCAGCTCTCAAATTTCCAGTATAAATACCATCTGCAGATCAATGGACTCCCGGGCATCGTCGCATCGTTTCGTATTTGAAAGCTTCGCCTGCCTCGGTTCGGTTCCCAGATAGAATCAGCAACCATGGAGAGGCTAAAGAAGCATGCAGGTACAGTGACACAAGCGCCCTTTGTGTAGAGATCCTAGAGACGAGCTGTTCCGTTAAAATTGATATGGATTGTGACACTCTGGTTGATGTGCCCCGACAACGAAAGCATAGGGAGAGTTACAAGAGGAAGAGGATGAACGACAGGGCTACGAGCCGAAGACTTAAGCCTCATCGACAATCTGGTGGATCATCATCCCCCCTGAATCACCTATGTGTTTGCCATATATGTTTTACTAAAGCTGGTTGGTGTATAGTTCTAAGTTTCCTTCTTCCGAAGGATGCTTTGGCAATGGCAAACTTTCTTATCCTATTCCAAGCATGTTGAAATAGTTGTCTGAATAACAACTTGGACTAAATGGCAGTTAAAATTGAAATAATATTATCTATCTACGGTGGATAATTCATAATTCTGACTGCTTGAGGTCTTTCACGGAAGCTCTCTCAACCCGTTGGAGACAACCTACTACCTTACCTCCCCTCATCCCATTACATATGGGAATAGGGTCAGCTATTTTTATCTACTCAAGTCATTGTTTGATTGTCTATTTCTACCATTTGAAAGCAACTGAAATTCACAATTATTAGTTCAATTACAAATAAGTAATTTGTCTTTTTTTTTTAAATTTACAATTTGATCACCCTATTAAAATATTGTCACAAAAGATTAGTTGTAGTAAAAAGTTGAAACATGTTTAATGTGACATGGTATAATAATAACTTTAATACTCAAAATTTATGCATTCTATTAATTTAGTCCTAATTTATAATAATTCGATAAACTTAACTCTTTATAATTAAAAATTTCATCACTTTAGTCAAATTTTATGATACTGTCAAACCATACGAGTACATCAAATCAAAGCTACAGTTGAATAATTTGTTGTTTTACGATAAAATACAATTATTCAACTTAGGAGAAGAACAAAAGACTAAATTAATAGAATTTTAAAATATGAAGGATTAAATTTAATAAATTATTTTGAATTATGATAAAATTGATAAAATGTACAAGTTTTAGATACTAAAACTGTTATTATGTAAAGTCATATCACTATTAAGTCTAATATTTAATATTTAATAATTAATAAATATCATAATAGAATAATTACGTTATAACTTTTAAAGAATATAATAGTAAAAAAATATGACATAAAATCTCTTCGATTAATATTTATCCGACGTGAAGCGAACATGACAGCAGATTTTCTCTCCAAGATTAAGAGAAAATCGTCTCAGTGACCAAAATTTTCATATAATATACGATTTTAATCAATTTTTTTGGATTTGTCAAAATGACCAACAAAATCGCAATGCGATCGCTAATTCGTAACACGATCTCCATTATCGCAAATTCGCGTTGCATTTCGCGTTGCGATAGTTGGAAATCGCGTTGCGATGGTCTACAGTGTCGTTGCGATTTTCCCAATTCGCAATGCGAATAAGTAAATCGCAACGCGAATTGGGAAAATCGCAATGCGATACTGACTATCCCAATGCGATACTTACTATCGCAATGCGATAATACAAAATCGCAACGAGATACTGACTTTCGCAACGCGATTCTGACTTTCGCAACGCGATAATACATAATCGCAATGCGATTTTCAAAGCGCCATTAGTATCCTGGCCAAGTATTTTATTTTTAAATTCCAAACACGAATATTAATATATTGGAACACTGAACCGTCCACAGTATATCCCGTAATCGCAACTCATAACCTAAAGCCTAAAATCACAACTCAGTCCCATCTTCATCTCTCACTCTCTCACCCATCTCCGACGAAATCCGTCCCCATCTCCGGCGAAATCCGTCTATCTCCATCTCTCAGAGCCACCCTCACAATCAGAAATGGAAAATCAACCAAATCAACCAACGAGGGTTAGTTTTTTTAATTACTTTCTTTTTGAAATTTTTGCATTATTATTAGGTTTTTCATATTGAAATTGATGATAAGTTTACTGGTAATTTCAATAATAGATTAACATTTCACTTAGATTGCTTATTAAATCAACCGAGAATCGCAACGCGATTTTAGTTTCGCGTTGCGATTCTCTCGTTGCGATAGTCAAATTCGCGTTGCGATAGTCATTTTTGTGTTACGATTTTCATTTTCAGAAACTATTCTTCTTCTTCAAATTGAAACTTGAATGAATTGCATTACTTCAACCAAAAAACAAAGACAAATACGAAATTCACAGTGTTGCAAATTTAAGTTTGAAGAATAAACTACTACTCTTTATGTTTATTATTGTTTTTGGTATATCTTCACAGTGTAGTTTTTGGTATATCTAAGTTAGTATGTTTATTGTTTTTGTAGAACTTTTATTCGGCTCAATTGACCTTAAGAAATAAAGTCAGCCTGGCCAAAACAATTGTGTCGAAGCTTTCACCTGCACAAAGAAAAATGTTTGAGGATACATGCTTCGGGCCATGGCTGAAAGTACAACATCCCGGTGGAGATGCGATGTTGACACACCTGTTTCTTCAAACCATGACTAGCGATCTACCAGAGACTATACAACGTCGTGATGAAGAGATATAGTTTGATTTTCCACCGGTGTATACGTGTTTTGGGCGGGAGGAGTTTTGCTTAATCACCGGTCTACGCTTCGGACACGATGATGTAGGTCGGTACACTAGACACATTACCCGCCCATCATGGCTATCCCGGGTTTTTCTTGAGCTAGAGAGGCCGAATCTACACGTAGAAGACCTGACAAGATTGTTGAATAAGAAAGATGGTTTTACTCGGATGGATGACGTCGACGTTGTCCGAGTATGCCTTCTAATTCTTTTGCATGCCAGCTTTTTAGGCAGAGAGGCCAGACAACCTATTCCAAATGATCTAATCAAATTGGTAGAAGACCTAAATGCGTGGAACCTGTTTCCGTGGGGCTCGTATTTATGGAAAGCTACATGGAATAAGCTATCGTCTGCCTTGGATGATCGAAAAAGTTTGCATGGCGATGGTTCCAAATACACTTTGTCAGGCTTTATTTGGGCCTTTAAGGTAAGAATTTTTATATAATGTTTCCAAAATTATAAGTAATTATTTAACAATTACTAATGTTTGTTATTATATTGTTTGTAGATTTGGATATTTGAGGCATTTCCCGCCATGAAGACATATGCAATAAAAACTTCAAATGATATTCCCAGGACTATTTCCTGGAAAAGGAAACGGACCTTGCAATGGGAAGATTTACTACGGTATACGACAATAAATAATGTAAGTTAACATAAATACTACCATATGTTTATAAACAAGTTATTACTAGTACACGTTTAACTTTTTTGAGCTTTTATATTGTTAGGAGGCCAACACTCCTCTACAGAGGCTGACACCCACGGAAGCTGAGCTTGCCACTGATTGGTGGCAAGCTAGTAAGCGTTTTTTTGATGGAACGGTTGATGAGCAGCCTCCACTTCGGGAGCCATCACCTCGCCCAGAGCTATCACCTCACCTAAAGCCATCATCTGATCGACCCGACTATACACCTCCACAACGACAGCCATCACCTATTCTGTCACATCATCGAGCCTCTTCTCCACCATCACCGCAAGATAGGCGACCGACAAAGATGCCACGACGTTTATCTCCATGTTCTCCACCTCCACCTCAACGGGATGAGTTAGGGGAGTTACGTGATGAGGTCAATGCCTTGCGTGAGGAGGTCGATACTTTACGCAAAGACGATGGTGCATGGCGTGTTGAGGTGTCTACATTATGTGGTGAGGTAGCCGCTCTACGTGAGATGGTAGCATCGTTGCAGAATGAGGTTCATACTCTACGCAACGAGGTAAGTTTAAGATTTTTCATACTCATAATTCATTCGGTTGCTGTCAATACTGCTAAACTGTTTTTGTTAGTATTTGTTTTTGGTTTTGTTTTTGTCTTTTGGTTGAAGTAATGCAATCCATTCAAGTTTCAATTTGCAGAAGAAGAATAGTTTACTTTCGCAACACGAAAATGACTATCGCAACGCGGAAATGGCTATCGCAATGCGAAATGAAAATCGCAACGACAAAATCGCAATGCGAAATGAAATCGCAACGACAAAATCGCAACGCGAAATGAAAATCGCAATGCGATTTGTGTTTCGCGTTGCGATTTTGTCGTTGCGATTTCATTTCGCATTGCGATTTTGTCGTTGCGATTTTCATTTCGCATTGCGATAGCCATTTCCGCGTTGCGATAGTCATTTTCGCGTTGCGATTTTAAGTTTCGTGTTGCGAAAGTAAACTATTCTTCTTCTGGAATGTTTATATATGTTGTCCTTTTAAATGTTTATATAAGTGCTTACTTCTGGAATGTTATCTGAGCATTTTGTGAACTATGATAGAATAATGACTTGGGTGAATACAATGCTAGTTTGAAACATATTTGTCTTTGTTTAATATC